CGTGCTCTCCTGTCAGCGTCTACGTGTCTGTGTGGATTGTCAACTGTGAATGTACTGGGCCATAACGTGCTCTCCTGTCAGCGTCTACGTGTCTGGGTGGATTGTCACAGCAGAGGGAGGAGCCTTCTTGTGTCCGTTCCAGTCTGCCCCCAGTTTCCCTCTGAACTGCCACAGGAGTTCCAGGGCCATGAAGAATCCATGCAGTGTACAAAGAAGAGTGTACATGTTCTACCAAGGTACAAAGGGATGTGTGGGGCAAGCTAGGGTGGGGGGTTGCTGCTGCTCACCAGCCTAGAGTAGCCACTATTGGCTGCCTCCTCATCTTCTGTCAGCTGACCATCGTAGGGGCCAAAGTCTAGGCCCAGCAGCGGCTCAGATGCCTCACTGTGTACTCCAAGTCCAGTCCTTAGCCCGGGATTCAGTGTGAGAGCTGAGTGACGGGGGTGCTCTGTATCCATGGCACTGCCCTTTAAAAGCGCTGTGGCCCCATGAGTTGCACAGGTGTCGGTGAAAAAGTTCTGACACTCCTCACAATCTGGAGGAAGGAAGAGCAGGGATTGGATTAGAACGTATTATGACACGCGTCACAATCTGGAGCAAGGAACTGTAGGGATTAGATTAGAACATATTCTGACACGTGTCACAGTCTGGAGGAAGGAAGAGCAAGGATTAGATTAGAACATATTCTGACACGTGTCACAATCCGATGGCGAGAACAGTAAGGATTAGGGACAGATTCATAAACATTGAGAGCAAGAGCAGAAGAGAGCCCAGATTCCAACCCTGGACTCCAAGTCACTAGGGAAGGGCAACCATTTTAGTTTATTATGATGGTCTGGGACTTAGCCCATAATAGCTCTGAAGTATACCTATATTTATTTTAAAAAAATAATTAACTGGGTTAGGGATTTTAACTGAATCCTGATAGAGACATGTTTATTTCTGAAGACTCTTTTCTCCATGTCAAAACTGGACAAGCAAGCATTGGGCATAGCATCTCACACTACTTTCATAAGCCTAGGATATCTGAAATCCGTGGACATTGAATGCAACTTGATCTTTCCCAATGAGGAGGCCTGACTGTCAGTTTATAAAGTCTCCTGGCTGAGCATCATAAGAGGCTATGAGTTTGTCACTTTTATTTGATAAAGATGACACAGCTTTCTAGTTACCTGATGCTGTCTCTGTTCAATGCATGTCAGCGACTTTAGGAAGATTAACAGCTCTCTTAAACCCTCTTCTACAATCAAGACCAAAAAAAACCAAGCTCCATTTGAGGAAAAAGATCATGTGGCCTAATTAAATATACACAGAGTATGTATCTTCACATATGTGTTAATCACTTGATTTTGTAAAATGTTTAATACAGGAATTATGAAGCACTGTAAAATACACATTATTGCTGCTGTTGTTAAGTACTGTTGTGTTGTTTCTGACTCAAAGCGACCCTGTATAGGGTTTCCGAGGAGCGGCTGGTGGGTTTGAACTGTCGACCTTTAGGTTATCAGCCCATTCATTATCTTACATTGCCACACTAGGATTCCCAAAAATTAACATTTGAAAGTGGTTTTATAGTTTATCAAAGGTTTCTCTCAATTGTTTTTTGATTATCAATGTTTAGCAAAAGCAATCTCCTTAACCAAACAAACCAACTTTAAGCATAAGGAGAATTAAACTAGAAAAATCTATACATCCAGTACTGTTTATTGATCAGTAGGGTCTTTTTAAAAACCTCTTTAAAGTGTTGAAGAGCAAAGATGTCAGCTTGAGGACTACGGTGCGCATGACCTAAGCCATGGTAATTTCAATAACCTCATATGCATGGGAAATCTGGACAGTGAATAAGGAAGACCGTAGAAGAATTGATGCTTTTGAGTTATGGTGTTGAAGGAGAATACTGAAGGTGCCATTGGCTGCCAAAAGAACCAATAGATCCGTTTTGGAAGAAGTGCAGCCAGAGTGCTCCTTGGAGGCTAGGATGGCCAAACTTCATCTCTCATACTTTGAACATATTGCCAGGAGGGACCAGTCGCTGGAGAAGGATATCATGTTTGGTAAGGTGGAAGGTCAGAGAAAAAGAGGAAGACCCCCAGCGAGATGGATTGGCAAAATGGCAACATCAATGTGCTCAAGCGTGGCGACAATTATGAGGTTGTCACAGGATCGGGCATTGTTTTGTTCTGCTGTGCATAAGCTCACTATGAGTCGGTACTGACTCGATGACACCTGTCAACAACAACATTTATTGAGACCCCCAACATTCTGCTACAACTGCCTGTGGTCCTTTGATTCTATTTCCAAATTAAAAACCAAAAACTAACCAAGCCACAGCTAAACCACTTGCCAGGCCCTCCTCCTCTCACAATGACAACTATTGTGAATTTGTTACTCTTACTCACATTCAGATTTCTGTCCATTTATTAATGTTGCTACAAATTACATATACTATCATCTAACATATTTTTAAACTTTTGATGAATGACCTCTCACTATTGTACTCTTTGAAGCTTGCTTGTTTGTTGGACACGTATGTATATCTTTACATGAACAGCTCTTTGTTAACTCCTGAGGAGTGGCTAAGACCTGACCCCTCAGATCCTGCTAGCCTCACCTTACTGCCTAGGTGTCCATTCTGTACTGGAATTCTCAGTGTCACCCACCTGGGCTTTGATGCCCTGCCTGCTCTCACACATGAAAACTAGGTAAGGGATTTGGAGACTGGAAAGAACAAATCTTTGTCCTACATTTTATAAGAAAAGGAGGGGAGTGGTTGATTTTGCAGTTCAGGACCAGAGGTCCCAGGGACCCTTCAAGGGATAAAAATGGAGTTGGGACCCTATCCAGAGAAGTAGTGACACCAGAGATGGAGGCAGAGATGCTGACGTGGAGAGATGGAGCGGCTGGAGACGTTGGACTCAGGGAGGGAGAGGGTCTGTGTGCTGACGGCCGGGGGGTAGGCTTGCGGTGGGTACCCTTTGATTGTTTGATGATGCAGGGAGGGGATTGTAACCATGGCAATGAAACGATATTCCATAGGATGAATGTAAAGCTAATGTTCTCCCATGTAAACTATCACTCAAGGCACAATTAAAACTTTAAATATTAATAATAATGAGCTCTCCTACAAATTGGAAAATTAAACTGGTAAAAACAATAAACAAACAAAACTTTGTCTTCAGATAAAAAAGCAGGTAGTAAGGGCTGTGACTCAGTGGATGGGCTGGGAAAGGCCAGAGTGGACAGAGAACCAACTGTCCCCCCAGGTCTCCCTCCACACAGGAGCTTGTCCTGGGAGTACAGGGGCCGAGGCCTGTGGGTAGGACCCTACTGTGACCAGTGGCTCCTAGTTCCTTTTGACATTCATGGAGGGCATTTCTCTGACTCTCCCGTTTCCACGCAGCCCTCTTTGGAGAAGTGTATGAAACTGTCTCTGGAGAAATACAACATGCAATGGGTCCAGGCCCAGACCGCCTGTCCGTCCACATGGGCAGGGAGCAGCTGGGGACAAGGACCCTCCTTCCTTCAGAGGCACTTTCTGATGAACTGAGCAGACTCTAGGCATCTTCTAGTGCTTCCCAAACAGGGTAGGTGATGAGGCCGGTGTCCTCATTCTCCAACAGACCTCACCTTCCTTTTATGGACCCCTCCCCACGCACCAGCCATCTCCAGCACTCTCGGTGGGCCTCCCTTTCCGGCCTCCCACTACCCCCTTACCGTGGGTGTCCTCCCCATACTCTCCTCCATGGCTCTTGGTGAGCTTCATGCTGTCAGCATCACCCACAGGTTCTGACAGTTCCAGCCCAAGAGCACAGTGCCTGTGGAAAGAAGAGGTGACAGTCAGGACAGCCACCCAAGTCACTGCCCTGTGCCAAGTGTATCTGGAACTGGGGTCAGAGGAGAAAGACTATGGGAAGTCAGGGTGTTGGGGGGTTACAAGTTCTGATACAATAGCACAGCCAAGGGGTCATGGGGGTTCAGATTGGCGTTTCTCAGAGAAGTGTCTGGGGTCTCCACCAGGAAACTGTGGAAAGATCTGTGAATACAGCAGGCTGGATATCTAAGAGCAGGGATCTGTAGACTGATGGGATATAGGGTCCTTCAGGCTGCGGGGGTTTAGACTCTCTCAGGGTGAGGAGATTTGGGATTTCTTAGAGCAAGGGGCTTTTGAATCATCCAGGTTGAGAGTTTGGGGACCGGAGGATGAGGTTATTTGTAGTCTCTGAAGCTGAGGTGATTTGGGTCCTTTAGAGTTGGGGGATTTGCAATCAGTTGGGAGAATAGAATTTGAGGTTTTTCTGAATGACGAGATTTGAGGTACTCAGGTTGAGAAAATGAAGGATCCATCATGTTAAAGGGATTAGAGGAATAGAGCCTGGGTACCTCAGACTCATTCAGGAGAGTTAGGGTCTTATGAAATGGATTTAAATTACACAACAATGAGGTTATTTAGGGTTGCTCAGGCTGAGGAGAAGAGATGCCGAGTACCCTGGATGAGGAGAATACAGGATCTCTGAAGTAGGGTTAATATGGGGTCTCTGTGGTGAGAGTTTCAGTGTTTCTCAAATTAAGGGAATTAAGGTCCTTCAGGCTCCGGATGTTTGATGGTCTCAGGACAAGGGACACCACTCGTCTGTCAGTTTGTTGGAAGCTAAACCTCTGGTATTACAAATCCCAATGGGAACAGGATTCAGCAGAGCTTCAAGATGAGGACAGATTGGAACACCCACACCTGCAGATGATACCCACTTGCCATGGCTCCAATGATGGGACAAACAGAACTCAACCCGAAGAAGACAGAATAGGAAAAAAACGTTATCAGATACAATTTGATAAACTGGACATCCACCTATAAATGCAGCAGTCCAAAATAGGAAATAAATCCCTCCTCCAAGAATTATTCCCACCCCCACCCCCCCTCCACACAAAGAGTAGA